TTCATATCTTGGCTTTTTGTATGACTACAATCTTATGAGAGTGTCTGAAGGTTTATCCCTATTACTTAAATAGAAGTTCATCAAACCAGGTATATTGAAAGTCATAATAGGTTTTTATTGTTTCTTCCTGAAATAATTAATACCCGTATTGAGAGTAACCCTAATATTTTTTCTACCTCTACTTTTTTTTAGTTTCTCTTTCCAGTTTTTCTGTACCTTTTTGACCTTACCCATTTTTGACCTTACCCATTTTTCTCCCTATTATGTTCCTCTCCCCGACTAGATGCCATCGCTTTCCAAAATCAGAGAAACTACTTAGATAAAAACAAAATATTTATGTATAAAACATTTTTGTTATACATCCATCTCTTGGATAGCTGATAAGCATCACAAAAATAAAAAAACAAGCATATAAATTGCACATAGAAACTGTATTTATGGCATGGACTGTCAACCCAATGCAAAGAAAAAGTCAAAGGTTTAACCCAGGATCACTGAGATGTCATCTTAGGTTTTGTTTAATTTGTATCTCACGCACTGAACACTGGTTTCAATGCCATGTATAAGATTGTGCTTGTAATTTCATTTTCCTATTAACAGTGAAAGCAGTATTCATTGAAGAGGGCAATTGAAGAAGATTAATATAAAGTGAACGTAAAATTCAGACACTCTTAAACGCACTTCAGATATCCAACAGGCAATGCAGCGTACTTACTCCCAGTAGAGAAATTAAGAATGACATGTAAATGAAACAGTGCCAGTGTTTAAAGTCTCTGACTTGTTGCTTTTTGATCTCTATTCCCATATTTCTCTAATTGATAATGTTTGTTTCATCTCATATGCGCTATATTTTAAATATGTTTCCTAAAATAAGTTTCATTAATAACTCTTGATCTCCAAATAGAGGGGGTTTTCTTCTGTTTTGTTTTTTTTGCATATAGTTTGATACTTTAAAGCTATGCTCTGGAAGAAAAAAAATGTTAATATGTTGTACAATTGATTTTTCTAAGACCCAAAAATGGTATTTGATGTTTTTAAATATTTAAAAATCTGTATCATTATTTATTTTTCTCCAATTTTTTTTATCAAACACCCTTTTTATGCCTTAAGAAAATAAGTTGTAAAACATATGAATTTTTTTTCCTCCAGAGACTCCTTTAATATGAAAGATTGAGGGTTTTTTTCCATTTTCCTGCAAATGAGGCCCTAGAAGTCATTTTCCTGTTATATTTTTGTACAGTAACATCTCCCAATTACGTACCCCTCTGTCTGAACAGAGTTCATAAATAAGAAAATTTGCACTTTAGGGAGTACACATTTTCATAGCATCTCAGTGTGGTGAGGGTAGGCCTGGCGTGTGCTACAAGTTATATGACCTTGTCGAGAAATAGGACTTTGGTTTTACTGTTTTCTGCAACAAAATAATACTTTACAGAAGCCAAAATTACCTGTACTCATTGTGAAGTATTCATTTGCAGTGAATTCTGAATAAAATTTTGACCATAACGGCCAAAACGAGTGTTAGTATTCTCTTCATAAAGATTGCGAATCCATGCAAATAGCGCCCCCAATGAACAAAATGTGAGATTTATTGTACAGTATGTCTTTTTTAGTTGATATAACATTTTATATTATTCTTGAAGACTTTTAAACACAATTTTATATGTTTTGTAGTTAAAAACGATCTTTTGAAATGACGTCATCGCCGCAAATTGGGTTCGTAAAATCAAGAGTTAGTAAATGGGAGGTTCGTAATTGGGAGATGTTACTGTATTCAGATTTTAACCGAAGACCCTGTATTTTCCATGCAAGCATTTTAACCACTTTGCAAGTAAACAACTTCTCTACATGTTGAATTATTTATCAATTCATAGAATGCATCACCATGTAAACATATTCTAGGAAAAGATCTAAATGTGTACTTCATCCATTGTAGTTCAGTTAATATAACATGATCTATAAGAATTATGAGGAACACCCACACAGTTCACATTTTTGTGGTCCAAAAATATTTAATGAGATAAACTTCATAAAATATGAAATTTAGGAACTCAAAATAATAAGATGTACCAGTAAATAGAACAGTAAAATATTTCTAAATTGAAATCCATTTCCTGAAATGGTTAATATCCCATATGGGAACAAACTCTCTTCTTATCTTGGCCGAATGCTATCACTTGAGCTGCCGCGATTGTCACTCACACGGGGAAAGTGTTCGTCTGTAAAATGGATTTCTTCTAATAGGATACATGCCTCAATAATAAACAGATAGCACAGAAAGTTAGGTAACATGTTCTTCATTTTAATGTGCGTGCCACACGTTCCCCAGTGACACAGTAAAAGGATAACTGTTATATAACATGCTTTGGACAGATCCCTCAGAGATATTCCCGCCCTCTCTGTTACGTTTATCGCGGCATTCAATTACCATTGCTGTCTGTTTGTAATATCTTCAGACGAATATCGTTATTCTGTTTTTGATCACTGGTAAATATTATTTTGTTTTTCAAGTTTTTGGTCAATTATTTGAATTTATTATTTATTGTTTAGCATTAGGTTCAAAATTTGATGGCTACAGTATATACATTTCTCCCGAAAATATAAATCGTTTTTATTGTTAATGAAAAGTAACTAATTTGTTTTTGAGAAAGACCTTGCTCTTATATTTTTGACAAAGAGAATCTATAGAACAAATTCTATTTTTAAAATAACCTTGTAAAACACCTTTTTTGTTTTTGAAGGACTTTTTAGCAAAATAGAGATTGTCACACACAAAAAAAAAAAAAAAACAACCACAACATAACAAACTTTACGGTTTTCCTAATGATTTGTGTGAGTAAAATCTTTGTGAATGTTAGCATCTAGTTTTTGAAAATGTTTCCCCAAAGCGTTTGGAACAGTGTCTTCTAGTTAAATTGAAATATATCACATGAATAAGCGTGAAGCCTTGCGCAAGTGTTATCTTAATAGGACCAATCACGACCTATGTACCAGGCCTCTGGGATCTTTCGAATAGCTTCCAGAACATGCCTTAATAATATGTGTGATGATGTTTGTTTACTCTGGCCTATGTCTTCAAATGTTCAGTACATACAGCTCCTGCACATTGAATAATTACAATAATACAGACATGGTTAGATCCAAATCTTATATTATCAAAATTCATATAACTTACAACATACCCTATATAAAAATAGAATAGGGCAGATTTGAGTTAGTATTGCTATGCAAGGACTATAACCTTATAGGTTAATCATCTCCATTATGCTCATTAATATTTTCACCTTTATACCTAATTTATTGGCCCTGTTTTTATAAATGTTCTGATCACGAATTTACAACGTGTATGTAGTAAATACACTGTCTAGAATAAACTATTGTTTTAGAAAATAATCAATAATAAATAACGATTGAATGTATTGCCAGAATATTAACATTATTGTTAGAATGTGCTTGAAGGGTTTGTTTAAAGAATCAAAGAGTTTCTCGAAAACAGGTGAAAGAATTCTAGTAGACAATAGCTGTACTAGTACAGTTTTTTCACCAATACTAAGTGTGAGAAGTCATGGGGTCATTGCTGTTCAACAACTGGTTTGTGCAAGTTGGCCAACATATATAATTTGCATTTAAACAATTTTCCTTTAATGTTCTATAATAATTTTGAGTCGCTGTCTTGTTTAATGGTCCTCATTTATTGTTTTTTTGTCTCTAATTTTTTTTTTTTTTTTAATGATATATTTTCACATAAATGTGTGGTACGGTAATTATTAATATCAATAAATATGTTATTATATTATTATTATTATTATTTTATTATTATTCTTGAAGACTTTTAAACACAATTTTAATTTAATGTTTTTGTAGTTAAAAACGATCTTTTGTAATGATGTCATCGCCACAAATTGGGTTCGTAAAATCAAGGGTTCGTAAATGGGAGGTTCGTAATTGGGAGATGTTACTGTATTCAGTTTTTATATATATTTATTATTTTATATATATTTATATTATTATTATTATTGTTGTTGATCATGATTACTGTACTTAGTATAGTATTATGAGCGTAGCCTGGGGGATGCTTGTGGTACAGGCACAACCTCCCCTTCCCCAACCCATGACAGCAAATTAGTTCTACTAAGTGGGTTAAAAAACTAAAAATGCACACCCCCTTCCCCCGGTTTGAAACCAGCTTACACCCCTGTTATATTCACTTTTTGTTTTACCTTTTAAGTTCACTGGCATTACTTATTTGGAGAGTAGTGCTGGTCACAAAGAATGTTTTCCAGCCTTCTTCAAGGAACCAAACAAAACTAATATTGATTTAAAGTTTTCCTCCAATACAACAATACTTGAGATAACAATACCAAGGTTACTTATTTTATTTGCTTGTACCATCCACCTAATGGCAGGATAAACTGTTTGTTTACTATTTTGTGTCATACATTGACTATATTGCAGGTATAGTAATTGTAAAATTTACATGCTCCCATTGTTATTACCACAGTTTCTGAACAATGCAACCAACCGTTGCATAGTATATTGACTTTTTCACCCATTGTATACTTTTCCTGGCAGTGATAACCCTTCAAACTTTGATGACCCTGGACAATGTTGTGTGTCCAAAATTAAATGGTTTTGCCTCCATTAGATTACTAATTAAAATTGATAACCAAGGTCAAATCTCCCCCTGAATATATATTTTTTTACCTTCATTAATATTTCAGCTGCAGGCTTGATTCAATTTACATTAAAGTAATTATTTAATTTTTAAAAATCATTGATTTTTATTTTGATGTACTTTTCACTAAAAATTTTTAAATTACTAGATACTTTTTTGTTTTATTTTTCTATTTCCAATTCCATAATGTAATTTGTAAGGGTTTTTTTTTTAGAACTCTTGTATGTAGATAAATTTCATAGTGACATAGTACTTCAAAGCGATGAGCATCAAAATTTCCCTTGTTGTACCAAATCAAATAATATGAATTGTTTTTATTTTTTAGATATTTGATGCTGCTGTCGTGCTTATAGCGTTTATATTGGATTTAGTTTTTCACGTGTGCGAAGTAAATAAAAAATATCCGGGTACACTTGCAGCGAGTAACCTCGTTGTTCTTAGGTGTTGGAGATTTTATGGCATCATTCATAGTAAGTTTGGCACAGTAGCTTATAATCTTCATCATTGTCATCATTTTTAATTACAAGAATGAAATATATTATTTCATTGTGGATTACGGAATACCTTGATAGAAAGCCATATCCTAATGTAAGAAATGTATGGTCTCCATGGTTCTGGTAATAGAGCATCAATCTGATTGGTATTCTGAGGGTCTTAGGTTCAAATCTTAATTGTGAGAATAACTCAAATATTTATTATCAAAAGGATAAAATAACAACATAAATATTGAGACACTTTTAATAGCTTTTCAAAACATCACACTTTTTAATGCAGAAATTGCTTTTACTTTTATTATTCATTCTTTAATTATTAGCATCATTATCATCTGCTCATCATCATTATCTTATTCATCATCATTGTCACTACCACTCTCATCTTTAATCATTTTAATCATCTACAGTATCAACATCATCATCAGCATCATCATCCTTATCAGTTTCTTTTTTGCCATCAATATCATTATTATTGTCAATATAATTAGCCATTGTGGCCATTGCTAGCAATTATGTGCTAAATTTAAGCACAAAAATAAAAAATTAGATCTGTACACAATATTCACTGTACAAAGTTCAACTATTTTTTCTTTTCAAATCCATTGTGTTTGCATAATGCTGTCTTCGAACTTTTAAGGTATGACTAAATTGTAGAGGGCGCTATTAATTAATTCTATTTTTACAAATTTACAAACAATTATTGGTAGTAGTAGTAGTATTATTATTATTTATCAACATGGAACTTAATGATAATGAAACTGATGTCGATCTTGTCTTGCAGGTGAATTAATACGTGTGCGGAGGATGGTTAGCGAGGAGATGAACATGGAGAGGTATGCAAGACGGCAGGCTGAGGCGCAAGCTGACGCATTACAATCACAGCACGACCAACAGTTGGTAAGGAACTATGGAAAGGTCGGAGCTATACAAGTTAGATATCATGATTGGTAGCAATGATTAGTTTGCATATTCATCTCATAATTTTTATTTATTTATTTTTTTATTTTTTTTTTTGGAGTATTAGTATTCCCACAAGTTGATGTCACCACTTAATTCTGTGCCTGCATTCATCATTTATGTTGGAAGTGTAAACATACAATCTTAAATCTTAGCGAAAAGGAATTAACGATTTTAAGAAAGAACAAATACAACATCAAAACAAAAATACTGTTTGTCTTCATAAAACATTTAAAGAAAGACTGGCTATCCAATATTTCAATTTGAAAACTACATAAAATGTAGAACATAAAAATATCAAATAAAATTATGAGGAACATAATATACTGTAGTTACATACAGTATTTATTTTATAATGATACCGGAATTCAACATGTATATAAAATTATAATATGTGGCAAAGACAAGCCAAACCAGTCACTCGTCGCAAATCCTGTTTTGGAGATAATGGCCAAAACATGCTGGAATTTCAAAATTTTGGAAATCTATTTTATTGCACTAAACTAACCTTTATATATCTATACATCATGCTATGCTGTTATTTTCCTCATTTTCAATGTTAAAACAACAATTTTTAACGATTTGGTGATGGTTTCTCCCTAAGAAATGCCTGAAATCGTAAACTTTAAAGGTTAATTTCTCAAATATTGTTCTTTAAACAGCTGTATGTTTAAACTTGTGTAACTTCATAACGAAGTGACGGATTTAAATGATTCTTTTACCATTTTATAGCTCTCATTTTACTGGTAAACCCTATATTAATAACTAAAAATTGATTTTTCCGACGAGTGACTGGTTTGGCTTGTCTTTGCCACATATATGTAATTTTATTCCTATTTCTATCCTAGTTTTGTATGTTAACTCTGGCATAAGAGATTGAAGTTGTCAGGTTAGTGTAAAGACTATGACAGCAATTTGCTGAAATTGAATTAATACTGTAAATTAATTGATTTAACAATTAATCTTTATACCTCAATATCATTTTATAATATTACATTGTAAATAAAGATGTAGGAAAAGAAAGGAATGGTTATTAGATTTGAAAATAGCTTTCTGAAACACTAGAGTACTACCATATCTGTGCAGGCAGAAGCTGGTACAAAGCAGATGATGGTGCATACATCTGTTCAAGGGGACAAACAAAAACAAACTGTCATATGACATTATTCTCTCAACATATGCTACTGTATCCCATTTTCTAAAGTATTTTTCTTCACAACTTTCAACTAGATCCTTCACACTGAATTATTAAACTATTCCTTAAGGATTTTCAAAATAAATCAGGAATTGGCACAATGCCAAAAGTCAGTGTACTTTAATTACCCATAACTGGATTAATCAAACTTTGACCTTTGCTGGTCTTCACAGTTAATAACGCTTTGTCAGCGGTACCAGTCGCTAACCGTCTTTTCCTTCTCGCGCACTAGTGTCTCTGACGTACGTGGGAGGTGGATTTCCTTGTATCAGGCTAAAAAACATATCTTGTATTATTACACTTATCAGCACTAAAGTGACTCTGTTTCTATTAATTTAGAATAAGTATTTAAATCACTTGTGTCAAATACAAGTTATGATTTTTCATACCAAGTGACTTAATCTGTATTAATTTACTGTAGTTGTTCAAGTCACTTATGTTAAATTCAAAGTTATTTAATTATCCGAAAAGCACAAGCTGTGACTTCGTTTAGAAACTGTGTTGAAAGAATATGACACATTTGATGAAAAATGAGCAGGAATTCCTAATGGGGATATACTGTACCTAAAAATATATAATTACTATTGAAAGTAAAGTTGCCATGACAATTATTACAATAATGATGCTTTTTTTATTTTTTTGTGTGATTAAAACAAAGTATATAATGCCTAGCAGGGCAAACAATGATATTATGATAATAATAATGTTATCAAATTGTCCTCATTTTTTAAAAATAATATGTTAATTATGGGATGCTCAGCTACCATTCTGAAACAAATATTTATTGTATTTTGATTATTTTAGTATTAGAAAAATGTGTAATAAGTTGTTTTTGTTTTTGGTTTGTTTCTTTTTATTATCCATTCTTAACCAGATGAAATTGTACCAAAATTTGTTTTTAATGAAGGAACTCATTTAATTTTTCGGATTTTAAAATTTAATTTTTTTTATGATATCTTTAAATTTTACAGAAAGAAATAGCCCAACTGCGAGATGTGTTACATCGCAATAGTATCGACCCAGATTCGATCTGGACCAATAGGACAAGTGCAATGATGAGATCCAACGAAAGAGACAATAAGAGCAAGGTGAAACGCGCCAATCACAGCAGAGCTATGTACTCAGGTAAGTTAGATAAATTTTCATATCTTTGTGAAAACTTGGATAGTGGGAAGTTCTATCATTGTGGAACCCTTTCACATACACATTTTACCTCAACAAAACAAGTAAAACTATCAGTAAATGTATCTAGGTCACTTGTGGTATTTAAGCATGCACCAACCCCCCCCCCCTCTTCCACCACCCCTTCTTCTCTTCTGCCACCCCCTCTTCACTTCCAGTCCTCTTTTCTGTTATTTCCTTTGATATCAACTATTGAATATCAGAAAGTGATTCCCACAGCTCAAATGGTACCTCAAAATCTAAATTAATTAAGAAAATCCATTACTATTTAAAATATTGATTGATAAATAGCCAAAAAATGAAGGAGAATACAAATATACTAATAATAAAAAAGCAATGAGAGTTATTGAGCATGCGGTAAATGATTCAAAATTGTTCATTATGTCAAAATATGCCTATAAGGGACACAGATGAAGAAGATAACAGGAACGAAGTAATTACTATAAGAACAATAACAAGGAGGTTCAACCAAATCCTTTACTCAGGTCAAGGGAAGCAAGTTTGCAGAGTTTCCAAAATATCGCTTAAATTATTGCAAGTGAAGTAAGCGGATATTAGAATATTTCATATCCAATGACGCGTATATAATAGCTTTCAATATATCTTTAAAATTTTGGCTGTTTCGTACTCTATTACTTTATTTTGGGTGTTTACATAGATTATCAAAAAGCATTGATGTGTTTAAATGAAATTGAATACTAGCTTTCATCACACATAATGATTGGTCAGCTTTGAATTAGGTTATTTTTATTTATTAGCATTTTATTTTCCACAACTTTTTTTAGTTTGTTTCTCAACGCATTCAGGCTGTGTTGGAATTTATTAAATTCCATTTTGTGTTATGTAAGCACATCCACTCTAGCAGCTCTTTTAGTCTTTAATGAATCAGTTGATGATTCCTTGTTGAGTATCTGCTTTGAAAATTCTTTTCAGTTTTCAAGCTTTATAAGAAAAAATTACACCCCTGTAAAATATTGTTATTCACCCTTTGCTCTGATCCTGGACAGTTTCTAAAATTCTGAATGTAATTAAATCATATTCTAAGTTATCTAAAGCCTCTGAATATTTTCTCTTGTCAGTGGAAACTAAAGAGAAACAAAGCCATGTATTAGCTTACTCTATTACAGGATGAGCTAACTCTGTGGCAAGGCTTAAAAGTATGATGCTGTCAAACAAAATTACATCTAACTTTTACCATTACTACCACTGCTTAGGTTAGAGGCTATTCTCTATAACTGGCTTATGTTAAAGTGTAATCTTCTAGATTAAGTGAAAATGTTAGTGTAATTTTATAGAGGTTAAGGTTAAGATGTAGGGCAGGGATGTCAGAGGAAGGGACTGGGCTGTGAATAGGTTAGTTTTTTTTTGTAGGTGAAACTTATATTAATTTGTGGGTATTATTTTTCAGAATGAACGATACACCCCTTTTCTCCCCACTTTTTCATTATACCGAAAGCTGTATCTTACAAACCATCCCTGATTATTTCTTCTTAAAACACCTTCAGTGTCTTGAACGTTAATATGTACAATATTTCAAAAATTTGTTTTTCTGTGGAGCCTGGCCTTAATGAAATAATATAAAAACAATTAAATAAGAAACTAATGATCAAGAAAGTTAATTTAATAAGAGATTTTAATCCTACATTCCTGTGTTGTTCTCATGTTGAGTGATGTCTCAGTATAGGCCATTACTACTATCAACTGTCTTCTTGTAATTGTACTGTATATAAAATTCTTTTATCTGGACTCCACAATCATTTGGTTTTGAGTCTCACTTTTCTTGTAAATGAAAGAAGAGAAATAACTGTTAATTAATTGATGATAATTTAAAAATAATTTCTAAATCGAAATTCTTTCAAAAGATCTTCATATAAAATTCTTTGATCGCCTAGATGTATGTTCAAAGCATGAACAAATCCTGATATATGTTCACATATTCCGCTTCAATTTTTAGATAATATTACGTTTTTGTACAAGTTTGTATTGCGGCTATTCAAGGCTGCTAATATTTGAATTACTGCTAAGAAATATGACATGACTATTGTTATGACACATTTAACCATGAGCCTCTAATTCATAGCTGTGATTTGCTTCATTATCATCTGGGAATTACTAACCCACTATGGGTCCGGAGAATGTGTTCATTCATCATTGTGCTACAAACCTGAATATGACATTAAACTACTTCCTCTATTTATCCTAGGTAAATCTGTATCATCATGTATCGATTAAATAGACCCTTTGTTTGAGTATCAATACAAGTCAACTCAGCAGCCCGAGTTGACAGCTGTAATCTTAGCAGGAATCCCTTATTAAAGAGTCCCTATAGCTTGGTACAAAAAATTAGTAGGAGGAAGAAGATTTTCATAGATACTGTATTAACTGGCAGTAGTTATGAAGCATGAGCATAAGCTACCATGGGGGATATCATCTTCCCGCCCCCACTCATGACAGCAAATTAGTTCCGCAAAAAATACCCATTAAGTTTTCATTAGAAAAGGGATTTAGTTCTACATTCTCAATTTTTGCTCCCTCTTCTCTCCCCCCCCCCCCCCCCCAAT